AATTTGATACTAATATCGATATATTTTTGTCAAATTTTTATGATATCTTCAAACATATATTTTATTCAAAAATAAAAACATCATCGCTTTCTCAAAATTAACATAAAGTCATATTATAATATCGACTGAGATAAATAATAAAATGAAATATTAAAATCACGATCTATCTCACTGTATTGCGCGAATACACTTCTAATGTGTATATATATATATATATAGTATTTAAAAGGCATACGTCTCATTCTTTATCTTCAAACATTACACCTACCGGTTTGTTTACCTTTTAACATGTGAAATGACTAAATTGACCACCTACCACGTGACCTTCCTCTCAAGGAATGCTTCAATGTTATAAAGTATATATCGTTCTACCAACTTCAACCACATACCAAAGCATAAAACCATATCATCATATGTTTAAATTTATATAAATATCTGATTACTGATAATCCCAACCAGTTTCATACAGATTCCGTCTTAAATAATATCAATATGAAAAAACATTTTTTTGATTCATTCAACGGTTGTGACTAGTCGGAGAAGAAGGGGGGGGGGGTCCGGTATTAAACCTGTGACCTTTCTCATAGACACAAGACGGGTTATGGATTCGATACCAGCCATTCGTTGTCCTCAACAGATAATCGAGTCAAAAAATAACCCCTTACACATAAAACATAAAAACTAATGATTTATTTTGTGAATAGAGCGAGAAAGTATTTCTAATAGTAGTTTACCAAGCAATATTTATGAAGTATAAGGATTGGTAACTGGTTTAACTTCTTCATAAATATAAGCAAAAATCAACTGGGTTGGTTTTATTATGTGCATATCATTATTGTTTATCTATCAGATCGGAGTTGATCTATCTGTAACTTATTTTTTTAGAAAACACTATATATCTATACTATATTATAAAACATTTGATAAATACTCTTAAAATTATTTTTTATGCATTAAGTATTGTTTATCGATTCATATTACTTAAAATTCGATATTATAAGTAAATTGTCTTTATGTTTTAATTCGTGTAACTAACTGCAGATAAACATAATCAACTACAAGATAAACATCTTATTAATTTTAAATATAAAAAATATAAAATATAAGTAAGATAATCATTGAGTTACACTTACAGAATACTTAACCATTATTCTTATAAAAAATATATTATTAAACTAAAAATAAATTACTTAATTATTAACCCTAAATTAAATTATAATAAAAAATTTAAATTAAATAAATTACAAAAAAAACGAGATTTTGTAAATACTTAATTTCATACTAATATCGATATGCTTTTTTTCAAATTTTTATGAATATAAACATTATCGCTTTATCAAAATCATATAAAACCGCATTATATCGACAGAGACAAAAAATAAAACGAAACATTATCTCGATGTATTTCGATGCATTGTATGAGTATCCCACCTTGTGAAAAAAAAATCTCTTGGATATCCTTCTCACTTCTGTCATTTTAAATATGTTTGTTTTAATTTATAAGATTTTTAATATGATACAAATTTTTATATTTTATTTTGTATATTACTAATTTAAGACGATCTATAATTTTATTATGAGTGCAACACAGTCTCTAAAAAAATTGGGACGATCCTAGTTTTGAATAAATAAACTTAGAGGTTGTTTACATTTGCCTTGATAAAACACTTACTGGTTCAATTACTTTATCCGGTGAACATAATAAGGACTGGGTATCATACCCAGTAAAAGAGAAGATAAGATCGAAAATCTTACCCAATAAACGAGAATGATGATTCTTACCCGGTTATAGACGCATTTGATGGTCGGGACTCGGGAATAGAGATGGCTAAGATGGGCCTGGTTGGGCCCAGTACAGCCCAGGGACCAACTTAAGACCAGGAAAAATTACGATTTTTATGAAAATTCAAGGCACGACCTTCCTCAAAGATCAGTTATGAGACCGGGACTGATAATACATAGGCCCGATTTTATAAAAAAAAAATACATTTATGTAAGGTTACTCAAGAACTCCACAAAATTACATTTTTTTTATAAATCATACGTAAAGTTGTCTCCAAACACAACTCTCCAACAGTCTCCTTATCTACACCTCTCTGGTGAATCCGATCGGTGGTACCTTTTGAGTTCATCATCATGTTTTATTCAAACTTTGAACAATTTACTTGCATTTGTCATAAAATTAAATAGTCTAATTCTTTTTTTTTTAAATAAATAGGTCAACTAAGGTTTAACCCATTTATTTAACAGGTTGAGTTGAGAAATTAATAAACAAGTCAAACCCGTTATCAATTCATTTAGGTAACATGTTAAGTTGGGTTGAAAAATCCCAACTCATTTAATTAAACAAGTTGAGTTCGTTGAGATCCTCAAACTGTTTGATAAATGAGTTGAACCCGAATCCAACCTGACTTATTGCCACCCGTAGTTATGATGAAACTACTTACAAAAGGAAATTTCAAAACCGATTTTTGGCCATCTCTAGCCGGTAGGCAGGAATATTACCTCATAAGGTAAAATAAAGTAGTAACCATTACTGGTAATCACTTACCTGATAAACGACCGTTTTGAAAAGAAATCATAAAATTTTCTAAAACTTAAAAAATATATTTTCAAAGGGTTAAAAAAAAGATTTTGTTTTTAATGAAAGCAATCAAAGAATGAATGGATTTTACCGTTTGAAAAATACTTGACCCGACCCGAATTATCATGTTTCATTTAAAGAAACAAAACAATTGACTCCGACCACGACCGCCATAAAACACCCGCTTCTTCTTCTTCCATTTCTTAAAAACCCTCCTCCCTCCTCCCTCCATCGGAACTCCTAAACCCTACCACCACCTTCAACCGATCGCCGGCGTTATTGAACTCAATCGATAGCTACAATCATGTACCTGTGTAGTATATTTCGTTGATTCGACACCACCGTCAAGAACTCAAGCCTGAAATCAATCAGAAAGAAGTCAAGCGAAAGAAAGGAAGGTTGTCAACATGAGTACGGTAGACAAGATGTTGATAAAGGGTATACGGAGTTTTGATCCGGAGAATCGAAACGTGATCACCTTCTACAAGCCATTAACGCTCATAGTCGGTGCTAACGGTGCCGGCAAAACCGTAATGCCTTACCATCTATTATACTAACATGTGTATCTTCCCCTGTCGAACTGTTTTAAATTGTTTAGGTTTTAGTCGTCCTAGTGATTCCAACACATTTACACTCTTTATCATTTTGATTTCAGAGGGCAACGTGTTTTGATTAATTACTTTGTGGCGTTCATGGGAAGTGATGTGGACTTAGTTTTAAGTGTGTTGGTGATTTTTGACTTTTTGTATTGCTCACATTTTTATTTGTAATGCAGACCATTATTGAGTGCTTAAAGCTCTCCTGTACTGGTGAATTACCACCAAATGCTAGGTCTGGTCAGAGTTTCATTCATGATCCCAAGGTTTCTCTCTCTCCCATTCACTCCCTCTGGCCCTTACACATACTTATTATTTTAAACTGGATTCAAGTGTGAAGTATGTTTTGTTGTAATTTGGTTTTCAAATTGTCTGTGTCTCTGTGATGATATATTTAGGTGAACTGGATTCAAGTATGAAGTATGTTTTGTCGTAAGTTGGCTTTCATATTGTATGTGATGATATATTGAGGTGACTAAAAAAAGTATTTGTGATCAAATGCCAAGATACCATAAAACATTACAAAGGAATCATATACAAGTGTTGATTTAAAAACTGGATATTCCTTGTTTGTCTGAAAAGAAAAATTAGAAAATCCCAAAAATTCTCTCAAGCTATGTCAAATGAGGCTTGAAATGTGTATGGGTGGGTGTAGGTTGCCGGGGAAACTGAAACTAAGGCCCAGATAAAGCTGCGTTTCAAGACAGCGGCAGGTAAAGAGGTGGTGTGCATAAGATCATTCCAGCTGACTCAGAAGGCTTCGAAAATGGAATACAAGGCAATTGAGAGTGTGTTGCAGACTATAAATCCTCACTCTGGAGAGGTACTTTGAATGGTCCCTTTAACACTCGTGATTATAGTTGTGCATCTGTAGCTGTTTTAAGGCCTTCCTTTTGCTGGAATTCATTTCAACTATGCCATTATTTGACCTATTATTCAACTTCCTTAAAGCTGCTTATTAATGATACTGATTTTGGTAGTGTGGACATCTATTGGTTTTTAATCAATCCAGTTGAGGTAGTTCCGGAAATTCCTAAAATCACTCTGAAAGACTTTCTGCTGCTTCTGCTATTCATAAATAGAAGGATTAAGTAAGAAGGCTTGAAGGGTATACCATACCATATCAATCCTATATTTGCACACACAACTTCCCCTGTGCTATCTAATGACTTCAATAACTCAATTCCTAAAGAACATTTATTGTCAAGTTTTAATGATAAGTTGTGCTAAGAGCTTCTAACTATCCAGATTCATCTTGGAGTATGTTACCGGTGCTCCCCTGAGTACTCAGTTTTCATTTAAATTATGGGGTCTTATTGTAGAATTTCTTTCTGAGCAGTTCAGTAGAGCATACTAATAATTCATTTCACATAGTCGTGGAAGTGTTGATGGTTTTGTGGGAGATGTGATGATATTACATCTTATGCATAGCCAAGCACTTCTATAATCTAAATCTATCAATGTCTAGGTGTGTTTCAGCTTAAAACAACCTTCTATGTGGATTATTAGTGTGCCCTACTGAACTGCTCAGAAAGAAATTCTACAATAAGATCCCATAATTTAAATAAAAACTAAGTATCCAGGGGAGCACCGGTAACATACTCCAAGATGAATCTGGACAGTTAGAAGCTCTGAGCACAACTTATCATTAAAAACTCTGGCATGCGAATTTTTAATAATAGTATGCTCAAAACAACCGTCTATTAATCTGTAATTGCAGAAAGTTTGCCTTAGCTACCGTTGTGCTGACATGGACCGCGAAATCCCTGCTCTTATGGGTGTCTCTAAAGCCATTCTTGAGAATGTTATATTTGTACACCAAGATGAGGCCAATTGGCCATTGCAAGATTCTTCGACGTTGAAGAAGAAATTTGATGACATTTTCTCAGCTACAAGGTACTTTTTTGAAATCCATGTTTGTAACCTGTTTTTGTTTTTGTTCTTTGTTAGTTTGGGTGTTACCTTGAGCATACACCTTCAGTTGAAATAAAAGTGGTTTCTCTTGTACAACAGGCAGGTATATTTTTTAAAGCAAATAGATTCCTAACAAAGTCTTATTGAGATGAGACATATTTGGAGTTATAGATATAGGCAGAAGGAACCAGGAGCATTATTTTGATGACTAAACTATAATGTTAATTTTGTTTTATTTTCACTAGATTTTGTGTCGAAAAGTTTGATTATGGAGGTTTTAACCTGTTATACCCATTCTTCAATCTCTTTATGCACTTACAAGCTCTAGAAGACTTGGTTTTGTTAACTTGAAAACTGTAATTACTTGTTTACACATTTGTAGAGTATCATATATAACTTCAATGGTTGCTATTTATAATTCTTCAGCATGGAGCAGTACCTGATGTTCCATTTTGTGTGCATTGCTGTATGCTTAGTTGGATATTTAAAATTTTAAATAGCTTAATTTTCTATTTGAGTATTTATATTCACCTCTTTTTTGTTGTAAAAAATCACACTTAAAGATATACAAAGGCCTTGGAGATTATCAAAAAGCTTCACAAGGATCAGGCTCAGGAGATTAAGCTTTCTCAGAAGGATTTAGAGAAGCTTCAACTCTTGAAAGATGCTGCATACAAGGTTTATACTTTTTCTTCCCATTTTCAAGATACTTAGTTCAATGCAGCGTTAATTATTTTATGTGGACTTCAGCTATGTATCTACTTGTTATTCTATCGTGTTACTTTTGATTTCAAAGCAAAGGCCAAATAGAGTAGATATCATTTATCTATAGACGGCTTGATGAAAATCTTACAAGGACCTCAGGTTAGGACTTGAATGACATTTGAGTTGTTTGCCCTGCGATTTTTTTCATGAGTAGTTAGAGAAAAGTTCAAAGGATGACGTTGGAAAACTTTTTTCTGTTTTACTGGTAGAAACACCATATGATAATTATTGGATAGGAAAGAAGATCTTGAGGCACTCTGTTTCAAATATGAAGTCTCTTTATTTGTATCACTAGATATATCAAGTACATTATATTATTCTTGAGCTGTCTATTCTGGATAATTATTATTTGAGAACAATCTTGGGGTCTGTACGTGCACTCCAACTCCATAACATGGAAATGAAGTTCGAGCTCCCAATACCAATGCTACTATTGGACTCATTTGGCTACTTAATGCCTTTGTAATTCGTAAGGAATTAGAATGCGGAATACCGGATCTTATGAAGGTTCATACAAAGGACGGAACACGTTAGATTGTTTGCATCAATTGGACTTCCAAGCAGTATATAGGTGTCATTATTTAAAACGTTTGTTGGTATTACATGGTCTTCCTTTTAAAGAAAAGACAGTTTTTTGCATTCTTTGTTTGTTTTCTTGCTGCAGTTCTCTAATTTTGTAGATTTCTTTGACGTTTCAGAATGTTAAGAAACTTGGAGATCTTGTAGACAGAACTTATTTGACTTGAGCCATTGTTTTAGTTGTACGCCATTTATACGCTTGGTCTTTACTAGCACAAGTGAAAATACTCTGCTTGATTATAATGGGTCATCATCGTTGTAGTTGGTTTGCCAAAAGAACACATATATAGTCAAGGAATCCAATGAAATTGTCATTTTTTTTTTTTGAGTCTTTTGTTGTCCTTCTACAGCTTCGACAAAGCATCTCTCAAGATCAAGAAGAATCAGAAAGACTAGGTGGTAAAATGCAGGAACTAGAGCAAAATGTCCAAGATGTAGATACCAAAATTCGTCAAACCGAGGCTGCACTGAAGGAATTGCGTAAGCTTCACGACCAGGTTGCCACCAAGACAGCCGAAAGAAGCACTTTGTTTCAAGAGCAAGAAAAGCGTTATAGAGATCTAGAAGAAGAGAATGATGGTTTGTAACTTATGCAGTTACTCATCAATCCATAATTGTCCCTTTTGTTTTTTCTTTCATCAATTTGTGTTATGATAGATCCTGATGAAGATTTAAGGGAATGGAATGCCAAGTTCAGCGAAAGGATAGCAGTTCTTGAAGATAAAATTAACAAGTCGAAGAGGGAAGTTGAAGACATAGAGACGAAAAGCTCTCTCTCTCAGCAACAAATCAATGATTACATTGGGAAAGTCAGCAAGCTTCAGGCTGAAGCTGAAGTATCTACTTATCCTACATTGATGCTGAATTCTTATCATATCCAAGTTCATGATGGCCATTGTTGCTAATCAGTGCTCTCTTTTGGTCTTAGAGTTATATGTCCTTGAAGAAGGAGAGAGACATGACAATCCAAGAGCTTTACAAGCAACACAATTTGGGGTCTCTTCCAAATGCTCCTTTCAGCAACGAAGTTGCTTCAAATCACATAAGTCGCATAAATTCAAGATTGAAGGATCTTGATCGCGACCTAGATGAGAAAAAGGTGGTTTCATCTTATTTACTCTAGTACACCTACTTTTAAATTTCTATTGAAGGGCGTACTTGATAAACGTAGCATGGTTATTTGACATCAGGATTTAGAAAATAAAAGACCTCAAAGCCCAGGGTCTCTTTGGGCACTTCTTGACTGGTTTTATGAAAAGAATTGAAGTTTTATTCATTAAACCTTTTAAGAATCAATTTTGCACCTTTTGCCCTGTATAGCACAGAAGAAAATGTCTCTGTTGATTCCATGGATATTATTTTTTACTCCAGCTGCTTGTGTGCAATCTTACTATTCAATTAGTAGGCTGAGTACCATCTGTGGTTGGATGTTTATCTTTCCATAATTAATATGGATCAACGTGATGCTTTCTCAGAAATCCATGGATGAAGAACTTAAGGTGGCATGGGATCTCTACAGTGATTCAAGCGATCGATGTAAAAACGTGGAGGCTCAAAAGCGTGCTAAATCAGAGATAAAGGTATGTGTCTTGAGATACATTCTTTGAGTGCCGGTTTATTCACCGACATTTGGATTGCATTAAGTTATAATTTCATGCAGCGTGGCAAAACAGAGCGGAAGAAAGAAAAAGAAAACGAGCGTGATGAATTGGAGCTTGAAATTTCTGGTGACAATGTGCGTCAGATTGATCAAAAAGAAAGGAGCCTGGTAATTGTTCTCGTGACCAATTTTTCTTTCTTAACTTGTGGAGGTAAAATGGGTATTGAAGAAGCGCAACAATGTTGGGTTGGCTTACATGGTTTTCAGAGTACATAGGAAGCAAGCAAGGTAACTAATATCTTTAAGCAGATAAAACCCCCAAAACTGGGCCTAAATAGAAAAAAACATGATATAAGCGCAATCTCTATCATGTGGTTGGCTATAGCCACATGGTCTTCTTTGTCTCAATCACATCAACAGATCTTCACTTTTACAATGAATTTGTGATCATTAAAATCAATATCTACACTATGTATATGTTAGAAACCCTTTAGCTTTAGGATCTTGAACCTTGGTGGGGGTGTTTGGTGTTTCAACTTTTCGGGTTCACTTCTTATCTTGAACTTCAAATTGGGACGCCTAAATTTAGCATAAGGAACTCTCCTATTATTAGCACGATTTTGATTCTGCGATTCTGGTCACCACCGGAATAATTATTTCCTACTTCTTGGAAGATTCCGAGTGCAAGGAAAAACAAGGAGGTTCAAGGATTGGTACCAATAATGATCTCTACAGTTGTTAGGTTTAAAATCCGGCTCAATCAGGCCATGAAGATGATGAAACTTCTCGTAGGCGTACACAGAAAGTTTTCTTTTACTTTTCATTTTCTTCCCCTACAGGTTTATATTTGTAACAAATGCATGAGTGGGAAGGGCTCTTTTATTTTGGTTCATGGTATGAAATTAGCAGGACGAGGAAGGATATTATTGGCAGTTCTGGAACAATATTTTTAGTCTGCCTATAGTTTCCCATTAAAAACATTAACTTGGGTTTTGACATTAGAGCTACCTTAAAATGGGTGATCTTTTTTACTTGCTTCCTAAGTACTCTGACAAATGTGCAAACTAACTCACAGTTCAATGGTTTTTGGTGACATTTAGTGGCATATTTCAATGCCACTCATCTTACATTTAATGCTTTTATAGGAATCTGATCCTGTTTATTCTTTCTCTTGTGGTTATTTGGAGTTCCTAGAGTATCGAGGTTGAAAGATTGAGTAAGCAGCTTGCTGAAGGAGAGTTCGATACTAAAATACAGGCAAAGTCAACTGAGGTAGAAACTCTTGCAAATAAAATTAAAGCTCTTGGTCGTGAGAAAGACATAATGGCTGAAGATTCCGAGGAGAGAATTCTGCTATCTATAAAGAAAGAGGAGCTGGAAAGCCACAAGAAAAAACACAAAAAAATGCAAGTCCAAAGTCTATGCTTGTTCCTTATAAACTTACATCTTCCTGTTCCACCCAACTTTCGTCTTTTGCAACTCCTTATGCATTGATAATTTCTGTTTCTTTTACATTATAGAATAGATGAATACAAGAGTAAAATTAGAGGAGTCCTGAAGGGGAGGCTGCCTCTAGACAAAGACCTGAAGAAAGAAGTCACTCAGGCTCTAAGGTTAAGTTTTCTACACATGTTCTATTTTATAATGATCATCATAATGAACAACTCCACAAGCATCATTTTAACATTCATGCATCTTAGTGAGCCAATTTTGAAGGATGATTCATTTACATTTGATATGAACCTGCCTTGTGACCATTCTTCATCATACAAGTCGTCTTACAACAATCATCATTTTCAATTTTTGATATACGACTCTGTCTTATCTATTTATATAGATTTCTCTAGAATGTAATGTAGCCATGCAGTTAGTTGCGGATATTTTTTAGAGAATTGATTTATCTTACTATTTTAAGGATATGTGAATTTAATGATGCTTTAATGAATTCAAGATTTTAGCTATCTAGCGCCTTTTAGGCTTAGTCATGTGTCCCCAAATAAGGAAGCAGCATGTCTTCGCCCTTCTTTATTCTTTGTATGTGTGTATGTTTTTTGTCCTTTTGTAAGTCATGCCTCAACTTGGACTTGCACCTCCTGCCTGGTGTCACCTTTTTCTTTTTCGTTTAGCAACAATTGTATACCTTCCTTTCAAATATTATGGTCTTGTAGTTCCTTGGATATTTTCTAGAAATTTGCTTATGTAAATATTTTAATGATATGTGAAGGGGGGGGGGGGGGTGTGATCTTAGACGTCAATGTAAATTAATCCCAACTGTCCATTATGTGGTTGGACACCTGTAAATATGAGTGCCTATTTGGCCAAACCACTTGAGCAAATTGAATACATTCAAGCATGTGATGCAAAGTACGCATGCTATATAACCTTCTCGTGTTCTTTGCCTTTTTTTATCCAGCCTGTTCGCTTACTTCATGCAATGAAGGTGGGAAACTAGGGTCACGGTATGTGACTTATGTGAAATGACCAAGTCCATGCCACTAGGGTGATCATTGCACCAGTGGATCCTACATCTTAAACTGCATTTGATTGACCTTGCTCCCCATGTCTACTAGTCTGTGACACTATTATGCTCCAACTTGAGGAGTGCTAAAATAGGGCTATTTCTATCACCATATATATCGTAATTAAGCGGTTTTCAGAAGAGTTGGATGCAGGTGATGGATTTTAGGGTTTGTATTACGAGCCAACTTGCTTTGAATCTTTGATACCATGTTAGCATAGAGGAATTTCTTGTAAACAATTCTCCTAATCAATGAGGTAGAGAACGCATATATAGTGTAGAGAACACATATATAGTGTAGAATAGTGGCGCAATAGATACAGTCTGAAACCATAAATTATTTTATATACGATGATCCTTTTTTGGTAGACCCGCATAGAAATATGCCATTGACGCGAGTAAAGCCAAAGCAATAATAGTATTTATATCATTCGTGGGTGCGGCTAACCCCCAATGAGGTAATTGTATGTTCTTTTTAGTTGTTCCAAAGTCTTGTAAGTTGAAGCAATTAAATTCAATTTGGAAATAACCCCTTCTCACTACTACCTACTATACTGTGGGGTTTGCTAAAATGGATCAGTACCCAACATCTTAATATATGTCCCTATGGTTTGCTAAAATCGATCAGTGCTCTTAATATATATATATATATATATATATATATATATATGCTTCCATTCTAGCGATGGTCGATTTTTTTTCTGATCATCACCTTTTAGTGCAGGGCGCTTACAATCGAATATGATGATTTGAATTCGAAGTCCCGTGAAGCTGACAAAGATGTCAATGCAATGCAACTAAAAATACAAGAAGTCAATAATAACTTGGCGAAGCATCACAAGGATAAGGACTGTAAGCCTTGTTATACCTATAAAAAGTTATATGTAGGAAAATGTTCCAAAGATCTATTTGTTGGATTGTGCTAAGTGAGTATCAAATTCTATATTTTCTATGTTCATGTACTCTTCTTCATACCTGTATGTTTATGTTACTGCCAATATCTTTTATGTTGGAAAACATCATGATACATGGAAGCAAGAAGGGTGAGATGAATCTCGGAAGGTGCTCTGTAAAACACAATTTAAATGCTTTTGCATTCACACAGGAATTCAATTTCAGTTAGGGGTTCATGTTGAAATTGAACCCAGCATCGGTATAGCTTTCTTCAGTCGTATCAATCTTGGACTTGATAAGCATGAATGTCGAATATTGTTGATTTTGGTTGCGCTTTTAGTTCAGTCATTTGGTCTATAGGAAGTACAGCTTGGAGTTAATGAGAACTTAAGGTGCAATGAACATTTAAATTAACTATTAAGTAACTTAGAATTTCGTATAGAGACCAGGTGGTGGTGAGTATTCCTTGTTCTAGATTTTGTCATATCTTTTCTTCCATCAGTTCATTAGTAATGTATCTGATTATATTGCAGCTAGGAGGAGAGTTATCGAGTCAAAGCTTCAAACCCTGGATCAGCAGTCTGGCAGCATTGAATTGTATATCAAAGTCTTGGGCGTGGCTAAAGAAAAAAGGGATGTCCACAAAAGGTTCTCTTTTTTCTGCCTAGCTCATTTTATTCATTTTAAAGGGATTCTTTTTCTCCTAAATGATAAATATGACATATATCAGGGAAGTACTGGCAAAATGTAATATCAACAATGTTCTCCCAAAGGTCAAGGAGATGGGTTATTGTTTACCTTCTACTAACCTAGAATACAGAAGTACTATAATACCATTCATTACCCAATTCACATAACCTCTTTATTTTTGGTGCTAACCAATTTTACTTGTGATATATGGAGACAGCAAGTACAATATTGCTGATGGTATGCGGCAAATGTTTGATCCTTTTGAAAGAGTTGCTCGTGCACACCATATATGCCCTTGCTGTGAGCGTCCTTTCTCTGCTGAAGAAGAAGATGAATTTGTTAAAAAGGTTGCATTTCTCATTCACTCCATTCCCCTCCAAGAAACAATGCATCATGAGAAAGATAATCACTCAGTTAGAATGGTTACTAGACGCTTAAATTATGTTAAATTTATAAATCTTGAATGAGCTATCATTTCCTTTATATATATAAAAAGTAGCTCATACTGGATCTTATTTTCAGCAAAGAGTCAAAGCTTCAAGTTCTGCAGAGCGTATGAAATCATTGGCTGTGGAATCTTCAGAAGCAGAATCGAATTTCCAACAACTGGAAAAGCTTCATCTAATGTATGAAGAATATAACAAGATTTGCAAAGAAACAATCCCCCTTGCAGAGAAGAACTTGATTGAGCTGAAAGCGGAGCTGGAACAAAAAACTCAAGCTCTTGATGATGTAATTCTTCTCCTCATTCGGCCTTTATCTGCTGAAGTTGTTAAATTCTCAATAGTTCTATGAGTTCATCCTCCAGTGAACAGCATCTCATCATTTCTCTACCAAGTACTTCAGTCTGAAATTTGTTTCATTTATGCCTTTTATCACATTAATGCTGGCTGTGAATTGTTTGTTGCTTATTTTTTTTATTGCGCCATACTGTGAACTTACTATTAACAGAATAATTATGTAGGTCTTGGGTGTTTTAGCTCAGATAAGTTCTGACAAGGAGTTAGTTGAATCCTTGGTGCAACCTGTAGAGACATGTGACAGACTTCTTGGTGAAATGCAAAAGCTGCAGCAGGTTGTGGATGATTTGGAGTATAGACTTGATTTCCGTGGGGTAGGTGTGAAGTCCATGGAAGAAATGCAGCGTGAGCTTCATACTGCACAGAATACAAAGTACAATCTATTATCCTTTTTCACATGACCTGTATGAGTTCTAATTCCTTGATTTGGTTAGGTGGGGAAGAGTGCATTCATTTTTTTGAATTGGTTTGTGCTTGGATCTGTAACCTATACAATATTCTGTTATTGTTTTCTACAATGTTTAGTTGCCGACTTGCCGGTAGCAATGTTTGTTTGTCGATGTGAATGTTCAACACATCAAATCTGAACAAGTTTCTTTTGTTTCTGAATTTAAGAAAAGTGAGAAATGATTAGGCGAACAAAGGGCCTGTTTGTTAGCAACTTAATGAGACTCGTAACTTATTTGGTCAGTTATACATGTCTGTTTGTTAGTGGCTTAATGATATGGAAAGTGGCTTATTTAGTAAGCTTCTAAGGGGGAGCTTTATGCTGACAGCCAAGTTTTTCCAAACCTGCCCCTCACAATTACAATACAAGCTCTTTCCATCTATGAAAAAACTCTCCCAAACAAAAACTTTCCCAATCTATACAGACAAGTTAATCCACACAAACAGCATTATCCAACAGGACTTGAATGGAAAACCAACCAAACAACCCTAAATTGTCCTTAAGGGTTTTTACTTTGTTTCTTTTTACTTATGCATATATGGACGCTATCTTTCTGTTTGCAGTTTAACCTTATTTTTGTGCTTTGACTCGTACTCTTTTCCTAATGCAGTTTCTCCTGCTTATGCTTTTCATCTGATTTAATTTAGGGAAAACTTGGAAAGAGAATTGGAAAAATTCCGAGAGGAAAGAAGGGAAGTGGAGCTTGACCTACAAAGGGCTTCTTCAAGATGGCTTACTGAGCGAGAAAAAAAGGTGAAAGTGGAGAACGCGTTGAAGAATCTTAAGAAGGTGGAAGACGAGCTTGATCAATTGGCTGAGGAGATGAATCAACTTGACATTGAGATGAAGGTAATTTGTTTCAAGGGTTTCCTTTTCAATTGTGCTTGAATTGGAAATGTAGATCAAATTTCCAAACATGATGTGAAAATTTTCAAGATTCTTCAACACACACTTTAAGTTCCTTTCTGTTTTCAAACTTATAACGTGAACCTGTGAATATTCTTTGTGCTTTAGGGTAATCAGGACCTTGTGTACTATGCCCTGCAAATTATCAAAACCAATATGTTTGTTTTCATGCTTTTTCTGTCTTTGTGATTTCAGCATTTAGACGAGGATGTTGGTCTTTTATCCAAGGAGGTGGAGAAATACAAAAGTGCACATGAAAATATGAAAAATAAACACAACGAAGAGTATGAGGAACGGGCTGAACTGAAAAGAAAGTATCATCAGGGTGTTGACATGCTTAATAAATTGATCTCTAAGATTGAATGGCAAGTTCTGGTCTTGAGGGTTAAATGTGGCATTTTATTGTTTTTATCTCCGCTGACTTCCACTATTCTTCATTCAGGTATGAAAAAGAGAATATCCTCGAGAAACTGAAGGACCTGGAAGAAAAACAGTCTCTAGAAAAATCTAAGCTCATAAGTAACAATAATAAGAAGCAGGAACTCTTGGCTGAAGTGAACAAAACCGCAGATGTGGTTCGTAACCAAGATAAACTAAGACGTGATATCGAGGACAACTTGAGGTACAGGGAGATAAAAGCAAAAGTAGATGGATGCACTCTTGAGATTGAATCCCTAGAAGAAAGAATACTGGGCATGGGCGGCATTTCTGCTTCTGAAGCTGACCTTGGGAAACTTAGTAAAGAAAGGGAGAGACTTCTTTCTGAGGTATGTGTAAGTAGTGTGTGTATGCTCAAGTTAGTGCTTGTTTGTTATCGACTTAATGAGCTTAATGGGACTGGCAGCCCATTCAGTCTGCTATACGTGAGTGTTTTGTAGTGGTTTAATGATATAGAAAATGGCTTATTCATTAAGTTTCTAGGGCAAGCTTTATGCAGAAAGCCAAGTTTTTTTTTCTTCCAAATCTACCCCTTCCAATTAAAAATTACGCTCCTTTCGTCCATGAAGAAACTTTCCCAAACAAAGACCTAATCAATCTATAAAAGCAGATTAATCCACACAAATAGCTTTATTCATACAGGATTTAATGGAAGACCAACCAGACAACCCCTTGATGAGATAACTTTAGAAATCATTTGACTGTGCCTTTGCGAGTTTTGTGCCACAGGAGCATATATGAGAAAGGAACAACATCAACCTTTGATGTAACGTTGATTTGTGGGTGGTACTCAGAATGCAAGTTGTAGCAAAATATATTTATTTTCAAATACGGAAAATAGGCATTGTGGAATCCACTTGCCCTCTCACAATCCCCTTTGTGATTTGGATTTTCAATCATGCTCTATAATGATTTAAGAGTCATGTTAATATCTTTGATACTTGGATTTGGGATCACGTACTTGATTCTATCTGAATGTGTAAGAGAATGAGAAGTTATGTTGTATTTTGCAGCTAAACAAGTACCACGGTACTGTGTCTGTATATCAGAGGGCTATATCGAAGAATAAAATTGATCTGAAAAATCCTGAATACAAGGAGATTGACAAACGGTATTTTGATCAGCTACTCAAGCTCAAGGTGATGCTAATTTTGATTTCCCTTTTATGAATGAACTTCTCTTGCTGCTTCTTGCAACGAGATTAATGTAATGCTTATTTTTACAGACGACTGAGATGGCTAACAAGGACCTGAATAAATATTACAATGCACTTGATAAGTGAGTTTGTTCTATTGCTCATTATCATATACTTTTAGCTTATTTGGAGCATTCTTTATTTGTTGTGGCTGTGTGAAAAAAATGACCAGATTTGTGCATGATTTGTTATATCAAGTCGGGCTATATATATATATATATGTGTGTGTGTGTGTGTGTGTGTATAAAATATATATGTAGGAGGATCAAATACAAACCACCCATATTTGTACAAAATTATGCAAACAACCCTCATCGGTCGATTTCATTGTTTAATCTTATGAAATTGTTTCATATAATACTTTTTTTGATGAAGTTGTTTCTTATAATACTTATGAAATTTTAATGAAACTGTTTCATGTATTTTTCTAAAATTATATATAATGAAGATGATAATATCCATGATTAACACCATCCACAATAAAAATGGTTAATCAACCTCTCATAATTACAAAAAATGAAAAATTATGATTGGTTGAATGAGGTTTGTACGGTTTGTACAAATAACGTGGTTGCAAAGTTAAACCTTCTATATATATATAGAGAGAGAGATATATAGAGAGAGTAAGGTTTAGGGGAAAACCTCTCAAAAAGATGAAAAACTGAGGAACACCCTAATATGCATCTGTACGTTATGCTACAAGTAATTTGAGATGTTTGCTGATTTCTATGCATGTGTACATGTTCTGCACATGTGCATACTGTAGAGATGAATGGTTATTAGGGTGTTCCTCAATTTTTTAATTTTTTGCGGTTTTCTCCTGAACCTGACCCTATATATATGTGTGAGAGAGAAGAAATTTTTAGTTGCAAAATGATTTTAGGTTGTGAACCAGGGGACAAAGGAGAGAGCGATACACGTCTCGGGTGTCCACATTCATCATGAAGAATGAAGGTGAACGTTCATGAACTATTCATCCATGATAATATGATACACCATTCATCATGAATGATACATTATTCATGATGAATAACCCATGAAGGCATGAGACACGTGGCGTGCTATCCGTTGTCCCCTAGTTCACAACCTAAAATAGGTTTGCAACTGAACCCGCCCCTATATATATATGACGTTTACTGTTTACTGTTAACTGCAAAAGCCTTCTTGCATGATTTCTTCCTTCCTATTAGGGCACTAATGCGCTTTCACTCGATGAAAATGGAAGAAATAAATAAGATTATAAGAGAATTATGGCAGCAAACGTACAGAGGGCAGGATATAGATTACATTAGTATTCATTCAGATGCTGAAGGTGGTGGTACACGGTCTTACAGCTACAAGGTAAACAAATTCTTGAACCGATAACTTTTTTTTCTTTTTGTGAATTGGATGATGTTTTATATGGTTGATTGTAATTGTAGGTTGTCATGCAAACCGGGGATGCGGAGCTTGAAATGCGAGGAAGGTGCAGCGCAGGTCAAAAGGTTTGTGATCTTATATAATCCTTATTTACCACCTCTAATTTACTTGATTGTCCGTTCTACTTTGGATTAAGTGAATTAGATGGAACATAAATAAAACAAGAACTCGAATTCTTTTAGGCCCCGTTTGGTTTGTAGGATTGGAATGGATTTGGAACTGAATTCCATTCCAATCCCATGTTTGGTTCCTTGATTTGAAATCCCACAAACATAGGATTTCGTAGGATTTGTATGTAATAATGTTTTGAATTATAATAAAAATATTTGTTTTGTAATAATCAATTAATAAAAAGATAATTTAATAATTTTTTATAATATATTTGTAATTTGTTTCTATAAATTATTTAAAAAATTGGAATTAAATTCCATCCCAAATCCTACAAATCAAACACATTAAAGATTCGAAATCCTTCCAAATCCAAATTCCTCCAATTCCAATCCTTACACGAATTCCAAATCCCTCAAAAGTCAAAACCATTCCATCAAACCGAACTCCCCCTTAGGGTTCGTTTGGTTTGTCGAAATGTTTTTGAGGGATTTGGAATCTTCGATGTGTTCGGCTTGTAGGATTTGAAATGGAATTGAATTGAATTCCATTTTTTATAAATAATTTTTAAAACAAATGTTTTTTTAACATATTTTAAAATATTATTACAAACAAATCCTATGAAATCCCGCCAAATACCAACTAACCCCCATTAGTTGGTATTATTACAAACAAATGTTTAATTTAAAATAATTAAATACCTTTTTATTAATCGGTTATTGTGGGATTTCAATAGGTTTTCAATTCCAGTATTTCCTTTAAACCAAACATGGGATTGGAATGGATACCAATTGGAAATCCCGCAAACGAAAAAGGTAGTTATTTTTTCACCATTTTTCTACGAGTATCTGGAATTTGTGAATGAATCGTTAATCATGAATTGTTACTTCGAATGGGGTGTCAGGTGCTTGCTTCACTTATCATAAGATTGGCGTTAGCGGAAACCTTTTGCCTCAATTGTGGAATACTTGCACTCGATGAACCAACCACCAATCTAGATGTTCCAAATGCCGAAAGTCTTGCTGCAGCTCTTTTAAGGTATGGTTTGGTCATATTTTGCCATTATGAGGGAAAATAATTGATGTATTGCTGCAATTTTTTCCAGAATAATGGAGGATAGGAAAGGGCAGGAGAACTTTCAGCTGATAGTAATCACTCACGATGAGCGATTCGCTCAACTTATTGGTCAACGCCAACATGCAGAAAAATATTATCGGGTTGCAAAAGATGACCAGTAAGCCTAAACTCTTCAACCATATTCTTAATGAGGGGCAGGTTTATTTAGGAACCTTAAATATTTAGAAACCCAGGAACCACCTATTTTGTTTGTATTCATATTCATCATGAATATACTTTGCAACATTCATCATGAATGTTGTATCACGTTATTCATCATGATTACTCACAAAAAGGGTGGTTTCCAAAGGGTGCATTTGGTATCCAGACAAGACATGATAGGATAGGATGGAACATGACAGATCAGTTGTACGGCGTTTGCTAAGACAGAACTGAACAAGACAAAACAGATAAAATGACCAATTTACCCCTAATGAGTTGTTTATATCTTTTATATATTTTGGTTAATTTATGTAAATTATAGTAAAATAAATTTTTTTATAACAAAATATATCATTAGAAAGTTTTCGTCAAGACGATTCGAATGACCCAAGAAGAAAAAGTTCATGTAGTTTCTAATTTTATTTATACCTTTTCTATATTATTTTATTATTTATTAATATCTAACAAATTACATAAATTGACCAAAATATAGAAACTGTATAAAAATAATATTTTAATGATAGTAAAGTGAAAGTGTAAATAACATAAAATAGAATAAATAAAATTTTAAGAATGAATAAAATTAAAGATACATATTTGATGTTTTAGATCAGAATTAGGTTTGCTTCACCTTGTTCCATGGGGTGGGGGTAGAACATGTCTGTTCCACCTTGTTTCACTCTGTTTCTGTCTGTTTCACATAAAGGTCCTAAACGTGGAATAGTGATTCCTGTTCTGTTATGTTTTGTCCTGTCCAGTGTACCAAACACACCATAAATGAACCTCCCTTTTCTCAACGAAAAGATATAATAATAAGCCTTGTTTATTTCTGAATTGACATCTTTTCTTTTCAGCCAACATAGTATTATTGAAGCCCAGGAGATTTTTGATTGAAATGGTGCCATTCTCTTCATAACCATGATTTCTGCTCATCATTTTAGGGGAAGGTGAGCCACTCTGGTCTGGTCTATTTGTATTTTCTTGATTTTGGGCAGTTGGTTATGTTATAAAAAGTTAATTTTTTTAACCCAAACTATGAATCTTGGTTTTAACATTTGATGTGCTGTTTTTCTGAATCACTACATTCCAAATTCTGGTCATATTTAATAACTCATTTTCAGCCTAAAAAACTAAATCTTGTGAGTCACTTGTTCTTGCTAATTTAAGAGCATCTCCATAGATTCTTTAAAATGGAGATTTTGAGATTTTTGTTCTAACAGATTAGAGAGGGTAAAATTCTCCAAAAATGATTAATTATAAAGATAAATCATTTCATATTCTTCCTACCATTGAGAATGCTTGAAATTGAATGTATAGGAGAGAGAAATAGTATTCTATGAAATATATTGAATATTTAACTATTATAATTCATATTTCTTCCAGTCTATTCATTTATAGAAATGGGCAATGTGTTATCAATCATATGTGAACAACTGCTGACTATACATCTTTATTGCATGTCAATGATTTTACTATGATTCATTCTTGCTTAACCCAAGAGGGAATTTGGAAGAAAAAAAAAGTAACACATGTGGCTTTCAATCACCACCCACCACTTTCTTTTTCCTTTTCCTTTCTTTTCTAATCCTAATTGCCACCATGTGCATAGGCCCACCACCAATAATGGTGACCATGTGGTGGTGATGGGGAGGTTTATGGTGGTGGGGACTGGTGGTGGGAGGTATGGGATCCCTCTTTGCAACTTGACAAAGGTTCTTTTGGATCTATTCTCTCTTATCTTTGAATCAATCATTGTGTACTTGTTGTACATGACCATAGAATGATGTCATAAACTTGGTTGGCAAAATCCAAAGTTTTAACTCAACAAATGTATGTATATCTACAATTTGTGTACTCTTAAAGGGTAATTTGGTAATTTGTTAGGTTTTGTATTCTGTACTGATAAATACATCTTTTGTTTGTTGTTAATTTTGGTCTCTGATTCTCAAGACTTCAAAGAATCCATTGGAAGTAGGTTCTTGTAGTTTGTCGAAAATAACATTGTTTGTCTATGCAGCTTTAAAATTACAAGATGGTTATTGTGGTTTGTAAAAATGTCGGTATTTGGTTGCATTTTCTCATGACTGTTGTTTTTATTTTTGTTAGATGAGAGGTATTTTGGTCTTTTGTCAAATCAAAATTGATTATGATTTTGATATTTTTGGTATTTTTATGGATAAAAGAAAAGATCTAAAAAGAAAGAAAATGCCCCTTATTTAGTAGAACTTTTTAACTGCTGGTAGAGGGGGAAGACATAATCCAGACGTTTTAGCAAACTATGATGATCATGTTGTAATTTTGAAATTACGGAAATGGGAAGTGTTATTTTTGGCGAACCATGAAAGACCAAATTTGTAGTTTACTCTAGTTATAACTAGAAGTAGGGGTGTTTAAAAAACCGATCAACTTAGCTTAACCTAACCCGATATCCTTTTATTTTTTGGATTTTATATGATTGTTGAATTTCTATTAATATATATATTAGACAATTACACGATCACGTACATTTTTTATATACACATATTTTCAATCTATTTATATCTCTATATAACTCATTCATATACATGTTTACTAACTGTGAACAAATACACACACAAACACACACACACACACACACACATATATATATATATATATATATATATATATATATATGGGCCCATTTAAGGGAGAACTGACTAGTTTGTGGTAACCGTGAGATCCAATCTTAACCACAAATCAATAGATAAATTAGGAAATTCATAATTTTGGTAATTTTGAATTAAAATTTTAATGTAAGGACATTTTTGGTATTTTCTCTCCTCTCTCCGTCTCCGTCTCCGTCGTTCGGCCGTCGTCCTTCGGTGATACTACAATGTGATACTCAAGCACATATAAGATGGATTGTGATACCACTGTGTTACATATCCGATCAACCGCACAAAGGACCACAGTGTGATATCCAATCACATATGTGATGCATTGTGATACCACTGTAGTATCACCGGAGGACGGTGGTCGGAGGCCGGGGGACGAAGAGGGAAGGTAGGAGAGATGAGAGAAAATACCTAAAATACCCTTGTATTAAAATTTTAATTAAAAATTACCAAAATTATAAATTTCCTAATTTATCTATTGATTTGTGGTTGAGATTGGATCTCATGGTTACCACAAACTAATTAGTTCTCATTTGATTAATCCCATATATATATATATACATATATATATACATATATATATATACATATATATATATATATATAAATTGAGAAAATTAACTGAATGTAATATATGTAATAAGTATGGATAAGTTGTATCAAATGGTTGATGATGAAAAGAAGTTATTAGTAGAGAAATAACATATTTAAGGTTAGAAGAATATTTTAATGTGCCAAAATATCAATCCGACCAACCCGTACAGTTTGGGTTGGGATAAAAAATTTCAAACCGCAAGCATTGGATTGGATTGTTCAAATGTCTTTAACTCAATCAACCCAATCCATGAGCACCCCTACTTGGAAGAATTGTGTGCTTAATAATGTTAACCTACAAATGTAATATTTGTGGATTATTTTAATATGACAGAAACTAAATGCTTCAAAAACGTTTTCTTGCATAACAACCCTTTCACGTTGATTGCTTGCAATCCCGACATCCTAGATTACAGTTTTGATAATGTTGAATATACTGTTTAAGTGCTTTTCTTACGATCGTCTTTCTCTATCATTTCAAGGTCATGCGTCTTTTTCTACAGTACTCTAGAATCGTGCTAAAAAGAAAAAGAGTACGTCAACAATCAATATACATTCGAGACTTTAAAAAAATTATTATTTAAAGTGTTTGACCATAAAATGTTGATTTCAAAGATAATCATAAATTATAATTTGCCTTCGACTATATTTTTCATTTCCGTGTAATTTGTCCTTGTAAAAATGTCGGTCATAATATCTGTATTAGGAGAAAGAATACATTCTATTTTTTTATCAACCTAGATATCAAACACGCTATGTGAACCGACTTATTTCAGGGCGACCACCAGTTTTGCGGGTAGCTCGAAGTCATCGCATTTGAACCTCCGTGGCAACAAAGGGATTTTTATTTTTCGTTGGATTCGAGCCTAGGACCTCCAGACACTTTTGACTTTTGGAGTGCAAGCTCAAGAATACATTCTATTTCGACAAATACTTGATGTAGCTTACAGTTCTATACGTCCTTTAGTCTTGGTCATTTTCTTAGCTCATATTCAACCGAAAAGCTGTTTTAACAATGTTTTCTTATAAAAAAAAATATAATTTTATACTTCTCCCTTGCGGTAATCCAATTGGCCAGATATTGAGTTTGTTCATTGCTTGTAGTCTAAGGGGCCGTTTACTAAACGCTTATCCAGTAAGTGCTTACCGGGTAATTTTCTTTACCGGATGAACATGATAAATGTTTAAAATCTTACCCCGGTTAGAGCGGTAAAAGGATGGAGAGTCTTACCCGGTAAGAGTGGTAAAAGGATGGAGAGTCTTACCCAGTAAAGAGATTGACGACTCTTACCCGGGTAAGTGCTTACCGGATAAATTATTGCATACTATATCGTTTTGATGCACTATAATCTTACCCAGAAAAATAAATTATAGTGTTGACTCCTATCGGTAAGTACTTACTGGGTAAACATTTGAGTAAACGGCCCCTAAGTCTCCCAAGATCACTTAAGATTTGTTCAGTTGTTAACTTTAAGGTCGCATAATACTAATCAAGATGCACACAAGCCAGTTTGTTCTGGCGAGTGATATGGACGATGTGGTATCTAATTCAATATTATTCGCTGAAGCATTAATCGGATACCACATCACTTGTCACATCAGCATAGTAACCGGTTAATGCTTCAACCAGTTATCTGAGTACTTAATTGTTTAAAATTTTACATCTTAAGTAACGAAATGGAAGTTCTGAAAGTATGTTACCCAACATAGGAATAAAGTTAAAGCATGTTACATGTTTATGCAATTTGCCCTGATATATTTGTTAGTTGGCCAAAATACCCCCCCCCCCCCCCAATCTTATTATATATGTTTTTCTTTTATCTTCTTATAATAATACTCTGAAAGAATCAAGATTCTCGATCATTATTCATAGGAATTCTCATCCGTACACATTCTCTGTGATCTCATTTTACAAAATCTTGAAAAAATTGTTCTAATTTGTTTATTTTATTATGTTATTTTAATTTTTATTATTCGTTCTTTTATGTTTTATTTTTACTCTAAAAGTGACATAACTATGACCTAAGGACCCATTTACATCATAACATCCTATATGATTTGAAAACGTCGAACCAGTTATTTTCTAATCTGGAACAATTATGGGGCTGTATCTTGACTTATCAAAGTAATGGGCTATATTGAAAATTCGATTAAACGCGTTTAGATAACACATGTTCATGGTCGTTGGACATTTTTAGGGCGACAGTGATTGGGAGGAGGTTTGAGGCCCTGAATCCTGATAAAGCACCAAAATGGCATAAATCAATTAACGATACTCACAATCATGTTCCTAAGCATTTCCAAGACAATGGAATTATCAGCATCAAAACGACACACGTATGAGGCTTTAAAGCCGTGAAAAGGATGAGAAATGGATTTTTTTTTCTAATGTTCTTGATGTGCTTAGTGAATTTATTTGTGAAATTAATGTAAACATTGTTCAAGCATGTTAGATCATATATATATATATATATATATATATATATATATACATGTGTTGTAATGTTCTGATGCAAAAATAACAGCGAATTTCGGTCGCCAACGTGACCTTATGTGTCATACGCAAGTTCAGAAGTTGCATAGATGAGATCGTGTAAACAAAGTCATGATCGAGTATCAGATCGTCAGTGTACCCGCACAAGTTTAGGCTATGCATACGAGATTACATTGAGCAGTTAACGCAAGAAAGTTAATGTGACCACTAACCTCACTGAAACCTATATATTAAACGAAAACATAGTGTATTGACTATGAATGTTGGGCCATGTATCGGCTGGGACGCTTACAGTGACATGATAAGTTACCCCAAACAAAGGAGTCGATTTTGTCTGTGTATGATTAACAGGTACAAGTTAGTCAATGTAGGTTGCACATGGTACCTCTGCGCTTGACTACGACATGGCTAGCAAGTGTTGACCCCCACCATGTTTTTTCGGATTTTTCCCCAAAAGTCATATATTCAAATCCCTTCAACGTCATTGGGTACTTAAATGTCTTTTTTCTGAGACTATAAAATTAGTCGATTAGTGTACAAACCGACCAGAAAACCCATAGTTAAAAAAGAAAATTGTAGTAATTTATGCTAGTGAATGTGTAAACTAAGGAGCCGTTTACTAAACGCTTATCTGATAAGTGCTTATCGGGTCACTTTACCTTATCGAATAAGCATGACAATGATTGAAAATCTTACCTGGTAAGAACGATAATAAGGACCGAGAGTCTTACATGATAAGTAAGAGCAACGATTCTTACCCGATAAACACTTACCAGATAAAAATGTTCCATATAATACCGTTTAAAATAGACTAAAGTTTACTTGACAAGTTAAATAAAAATGTTTAAAGTTTTACTAAAAACATGTAATATTGTAAACACCCTCACAATCATAATAGCTGGCATTTAAGTGGGAAGGGAACATCATCAATACATTTTTCCCCCTTTTTATATTCATTTTAAATATCTATGATACCTACAAATGATATTTATTGTGATACCCAGATATACATATAAGATGCATAATGTGATACTCTTTGTAAAAGAATGAAAATAACGAAAATGCACATTATGATACATTTCATAAAACAAAGAAAATACATTGTGAAACATCGTGAATGTTATTACTATGATACACTTTGATTCACAAACCTCTTTAAAATACGATGTATATTAGGTAATTGATATACTAGGTAACTAAATTTAATTAAATATTTCCTTCGAAAAAATTTAATTAAATATCTTGATTAGTTGTCAAAAATATAATTACTATATTACCCTTTAGCTTATTTAAGAAAATATCCTTAAATATCTCAAACAAATGGTTCACTTTAGATCTCACAGTTACCACAAAATAATCCATTTTCCTTTTAATATCTCTCATATATATATATATATACATATATATATATACATATATATATATATATAGGGTATATTTCTTTTACAACCTTTGCAACCCAATTAATTGAGATATTTATAGAAATGATTGGAGTTCATTTATTATGATTTGAATATTTATGGAATATGAATA